GGTGTGCCCTCTGTAGTTTATCTCGTGTTTGAGCGTTCCATCAACTGTCCGCTTGCAGCCGCGTAGTTTGTCGCTAAAACCAATGCCTAAGCATGACTGTACAGATGTCACCATCACAGCCGATTTTTTCAAGGACCTGCCTTCATCTCCGTGGACGTAGATCGCTGCTGTGTTCTCCCGGTCTAAATTGAATTCTTCATTGAAGACCTCCAGCTCAGGATGCATAGCCTCAATTTTGTCCCAGAAAGATCGCCAAACCTCTCCAGCTTGGTGGCGGTGTGCATCATCCAGCCCAGCTAAGTGGTGCCAAAGACCCCTATCGATGATGTATTGGACCCAATCTTTTGGGCAGATCCAGGGAAGCTCCCGGCCATGAATTTGCAAGTAAGAAATTGGCACATTCAGCCTACCCTGTTGCTTCAACACGACCTTGGAGCAATCTCTTTCTGAATTGTTCAAGCAAATCTTTGCCCATGCATCAACTCCCCCAGACACTGAATTCGCTGGTCCAAGCTCTTCTGCCACTGCTCTGGCAGTTCTGATCTGTGAGCGGCAACTTGCCTTGGCGACACGGAGCAAAGAGCAATAACCATGCTACTGTTGAGAGTTGAAGATGGCCTGGCATGTGAGTCTTTCTTTAAAGTTGCTCTGCTGGAAGAAAACATTTGGAACAAAAAATGGGACACAAAGGATGCATAGGTGACTGGGAACAGTTTCTTCACTCAAACAACTAACCGCAGAGTTTAGATTGTAGAAGCTAGACTGCAGGCCTCCTGCTGGTAAACACTTCTGTGGCCCTGACGGGGGTAGCTGTATACATTGAGTCTGTGGGGTGAGTGGACCTGTAAGCTCTACTGCCCTGGAAGTCCATTAGCCAGCTATGTACCCAACCCTGGTCCCTTCTTGGCCGGCAAAAAAAGCAAAGAGAAATTGAAACAGTGGATGAAGGGCGACGGCGACGACATGCAAATCCAATCCACCAAAACATATATCACCACCTCCCTCTGAGATGTCACCTAGATGTTTAGGTACATGGTTTCAATCTCATGCAACATTCTACTCACTTGATCAGTGGATGCATGGCAGCCTCGCCATTCTGAGCAGTCGGCTCCTTCTCCGACATTGGCCGCAAAGGCTTTGGCAGTGGGACCAGGACCTGGCGAGGGTGCCAATAAGAGCGCTACTGTCAAAGCAAACGGAACAGACCTTATGTACAGCGGCATAGACTCATTTTTTCACATCCATGACCCCAAATGCGAGCTGCACTACGTAGCATCCATACGTACTGGGTCCTCCAAATCTTTGCTCCACTGTAGCCTGGTGCATGTTCTATTTCTTAGTTGCATGGGTGCAGGCGCATGCAAAGAACCCCGTGGAGTGTCCCAGTACAAAGCTGTGAATGCATACCTTGCAAGCACCTAGATATAGAAGTCCATCAAATTTCTGTAAGCTGTGTTATCACACAGCAGCCAAAAGCGGATCACCGATGGTGGATCGCAATCACCTAGTCCTCACCCTCTTTCTTCACTTTAGTGAAGTGGCGCTTGGCACTCCTGAGTTCACCCATGTAGTTGGCAGATTGGCAGAAATGCGTACAGAGTGGGAAGGGGAAAGGGCTGATCAATTGCCTCAGGAGGGTGTTGCGCATCGACTGAGTACCTGACCGGACTTTGGCCTCATTCTGGGCCACTTGCGTGCACCTGGTGGAGCATTGAACATGAAAAATGTTTGGATGTTGTGTCGATTTCTTCACCACACCTTTTTTCAAGCCAGGGGACTCAAAAGTACAGGACTTCATTGTTTTCTCGGCTTTTGTCACAGACCTGGGACAGCTGGAAGAGCAATTGGTTTTGTTGAGAGCTCTTAGTACGTAGAATGTGGGATTCTGCCGAGCTGCTCTCGGGTCCACTCGGATTGTTCCCCTTCTGCCCACATCTGACTGCACTTCGCATAGACACCGTCCAAGGTTTCCAGGTCTTTCTCCAACGTGGCGATCGACCTCAGGCCGCTCGGCCGCTGACGTTTGGATGATGTTCCATCAATACTGTGACAGGTTCCTATAAGATCATTGGTTTTCAAAAGGTGTTTCAGGTTTTGAGGAAATGGCTTGACAGCCAATGGGTCGTCGTAGTTGCGTTTGAGATCGGAGACCAACTGCCGGATCTTGGCAGTTTTCTGAAGGACAGAGTCATTGAACTTCTTGAAGGTCTCCCTCCCACGATTCCCCTGGCAGAGGTGGGCGGAGCTGGCCAAGCTGGGATGGAAACTGCACGCTCACAAGAAGGTCACTTGGCTTACCTGCGCGGCGTCTGTGGTTGGGGGAGCGACAGAAGCATTCAGCCGATTGTCAAACTCAGTGATGTGTCGCCGGTCTGGATTGATCTCCGCAGTGTTCGTGTCCTGAAGAAAGGTCATTCCGGGCTGTACGGACGTTTTGGTTTTTAAATTATATAGATAGATAGGTTGGAAACGGTGGAGTCAGTCGCCAAAGATATATTCAAAAGAAGAGTCCTCAGCCTGGTGGATCCTCTTCTTCTCCTCGTACTCTTCCTGTTCACGGCTTCCGGTTTCACGCACACTGACCCAAAACTCTTCTTCACCTCCATATTTGTTTTGCCTGGGATGGCAGGCGGGTTGATGACATGTGGCCGTGCGCAACGCTTATCAATGTAGTCACTTCAATACTAAGCGCATGTTCAAGCATAGAACCGGCACAAAGAAGGGTCAGCACGGCAAACGCGGATGGCTCCGTCCACCTTCTTCCTGGGCTTTTGGGAGGGCTCCGTTTTGGGGGCGGCTGTGGGCATGGGAGTCGCTCTTGGTAGGGATTCCGTTTGTTGCCATAAGCATGGAAACTGATGTGGGTCAAGAGTCTGTGGCCACTGAAGAACCTTCAGCATCTCATCACGAGAATACCAACCCTCATCAATCTTACATTTCTTGGAATCCTTGATACCATGCGTCTTCTCAACGGTCCGGATGAACATGTCCTGCATTTCAGACGGGGGTCAAAGAGAAACGATCCTTCGTTTCAGACATGCTGAGAAACGAGTCGGCCTGCCAAACACAAGAAGGGTGCAATCGACCTTGAGGACCACCTCAACCCCGTACCCATGCAGGATAGTTACATGGGACCAACAGTGTATAAGAATGCTTTTTTGGGAGGTGTGGGATTGGGTTTGAACTTCCCAATTCGAACCGACATCACCACCTTTCACTCAACCATGTCCTTATTGAAGTCACATGATTCCAACTGTTTGGCAAGCTTGGCCTTGTCCCCTGTCATCCATGCCTCATGCAACCACTTTGGCACCTGCAAACGACCGTGTGCCTTTTCTTCGCACAACCTGCGAAGACGCGCTTTGAGCTTGGCCATGTGCTGTGCTTCATCCTTAGAGCGCATGAGTCCAAGAGACAATAGATGGGCATTTGCAGTTTGCAACTCACTGTGTGCAACTTTGTTTCAGTCTTCGCTACATGGGTGGGCTGCTCTGATTCACCCTCCGCCGGCCGCTTCAACCCTACCCCATCAGAAGGTGGGGCTGGTGAAGACGCAGGCTGAGTAGGCCCTGAACCCTGGCCCGGAAGGCCTCCCAACATTTGCATCGCCGTCATGGCATCGAGTTGGCCAGACTTGAAGAGCTCAACCACTTGGTTCACCATAGCCGACTTAGCTCACCCACTCTCCCTTACAACATGGTCATGTTGCGACTAAAGCTTCCGGAAAAAACACATGCAGCCAGAACACAGTCCCAGATCCATCGGAACCGCTGGCCCATGTCGGGGTAGGACTTGCGGGTGCTGTGGGTGACTGGGAGACCGTATCAGGCAAGGTATCAGTAAGTGATTCAGGAATTTCTATCACAGGCGCATGCACGGCCTGCTGCGGAGTAGCCTTAGGTGTGCTCGTCGATTCAATCTAATTCATATACCGGACATCTCCCACACCTCTAAAAGTAGATCCATGATAGCAAAGTAGCCACAGACTTGACCATGTTTTCTGGCATTCGGGAGTCAATTTTGTCCTGGATCTCCTGAACCTCGGCTTCCTCAAGGTCCGCGGTTGCCTTGACCTTGTTGGCGCCCGCGGGAAGAGTGATTCCAACACACTAAGTGAGTTGGTTTTCTTGCGGTCATGTCAATATAGCTAAGTTCAAAGCGATAGATTGCTTCGCCTCAAGGTCTGCTAAATGGCTTTCCAGCTCCTTACATTAGCAAGGCATAGATCATATATAGGCAACCCACTGAGTATTCATTCACCCACCCCTTACGCCGCTAAGTTTCAGAAAGCAAAGCCAAATCATCTGGCAACTCCCCTTGCATATCCACCAGAAGGTGAGCAAGGCCCTCTGATAGCTCATTTGTGCTCCACCGTGCGCTCTTAAGGGTAGCAACACTCGCCGATTTAGCAATCGACATGCCGGAAACTGTAATTGGATACCTGTTCTTCGATCCCTTCCAAGCCCAATGCTGCAAAGTTGAACAAAAAACGATATAATGTGTTGTAAACACATGTCGAAAGCCATGTTTGCATAGTCCAGTGGTTGAAACTTACAACTGTTTCTCTTTTGCGCACCAAGTCCTCATTGTAATCAATGAGATGTCTCCGAATTGTGATTTAATTTCCGCCCTGAGCTCCCAAATCTTCAGCAGATCCCCCGTTCCTTCATGATGAATCTTTAAAAAACAGGTTGAAAACCAACAAGAACCATCTGGAATCCTATCATCGATTACGGCCTAGTACGGCCATAATACCCATAAAATTTTACGGGTTTTGTACGGAATTTTATGGGTTATGTACGGGTTCAGTACGGGTTCAAAAAACCTGTGTTTTTTTTACGGGTTTTTTGGGTAGGTTTACGGGAAATTTACGGTGCTTTACGGGAAATAATTGAAAATACGGGTTGAAAGCCATCAAAGTTGTCTTGGATCTCATAGGTCCTATACAATCTTCAACCCTTTCCAACTAGTAGACACTCAGGGATTGCTTTTCAAGGCATTTAAAGCCTTGCGGGGAGCAAAGGCCTAAAAGAAGGTGGCACAGCAAGGCAGGTCCCACCCCTCAAATAGTGGCAGACTGCCTGTAGATCTGCCTCGGCCCAAAGGTCATCGAAGACCATTGCCTGGAAAGTCTCTTCGGCAGAAGGGACGATGGAAGGAAGCGGTGGTGGTCCAATCTTCTCATTGACTAAGTCCAGATAGATGCTCACCAGCCCCAATCCAAATCGTGGTGGGTATTCCCTCAGCAGCCAAACCAACCATTGGGGACGTGTGTGGGAAGGTGGGGAAGCTTGCAAACATTGTACTCGTATTCAACAGTTCAAGTGTTATTGTAGAGAGACTTCTTTCAGGAGGAGAGTTTTAAAAAGCTAAGCACAGGTCTCTGACTCACGAAGCTTGGCTGAACCTTTCCAGCGGCTTTTGCCATTGGAGTCTTGGTATTTGATCACAGTCTTGGACTTTTTGGCTGGGTCCTCTCTGACAGCCCTGGCCCATCCTTTCAGCTTCCCGGTCCAAAGCTTCGAGGTGTGCTTGCTGTTCGACAGAGCGTAGTGGGGCTTTGGCGTTGGCCCCCCATATGCCAACATATACCAAGTGCACTTGGTGACCTGGGAAGGGACCAAGCAATAGGTGCTGTAAGGATCCTTGGGGCACCTATCGTGCAAAGAGGGTTGGCGGAAGGACTGGCACAAAACAGCACAGGGAATTGAAAAGAAAAACATCGCGACATCTCAGGATATGGACATTTAGTTATTTGGAAGCTCCTAAGTCAACCTGTAGGGGGGCCCGACGGGAGAGGGGAGTTGGTTTCATCAACATGGCAAGCCAGCAAATATCGACACGACGTGTCTAAGTCCAGCTGGTAAAAGTGGTGAATCTAAGGCTTCTCCAGACACAAAGACAACAACAAGCTGGCTCGCAGAGCGCCTGGGCTCAAGAGCTGGGATCCCCGACAACATCGACTTGTTCATGAGCCGCTCGGAGTTTCTCTAAGAAGTCCCTCCACCTGGGAAAAAACTCAAAGTATGACTCCCTGGGCTGCTCTATCGTGAACGTCCCGTTGAGACAAACCACCAGCATACATAGCAGCACCACCCTGCAGGGAAAGCTTGCCACTGTTCCAGGGACATGTTTGAAAGGACAAACAATCTGTTGGACATCCCCGTGCCAAAATTGAAATATCTTTGTTGGATCATAACATTAATAACCAGTCATTGATTTTTGAAGTTCCCTGGCACCGTGAAGCAAGTAGATTTCCTTGCCGAACGCTTGGGAAGTCGGTGTTGCCTATGGACGAGCATGGTGTGCGTGAAGATGTAGCACAGTTTACCGGGGTCCATGATGAACACTTCATACCAAAATGCGCCCAGAACCCCTCATCGCTGTCGCCATACAAGAGAACTAGGATGGCGAACCTGGGCAGTCAGGAGAAGAGTGGTTTACTTACTGTTCATAACGTTCCACAATCTTCCAAACGTACAACATCATGATATAATACGAGCCACGCTAGACCCTCCGGAGAGCAAAGATCCATGACACACTTCTTAGCATGCCTTGTTGAAAAGTTCTTGGCACGTTGAGCTGCATCAGCTTTATCATGCGCATAGTTGAGGTCTAGCTTTGCTACGGAGTAGCCCGCATACCACATCATACGGGTCGCTTCCGCACGGCCTCCAAAGAATTCTACCCACTGCAGGGTCATGTCCTGGCAGCTTCACTGTGGAGATACGAGCAGCTCGGGATGGTGAAACTGGGTTGGCAGCTCGGGATGGTGAAGCTGGGTTGGCTGACATGCATGCATTCCTCATATCGTTCAAGTGGAATGCTGAACGGAGTTTTACTTTGTGGGCCATAACCTACTGTGCCTGATGTGCACACGAATAGTCCTTCCCCAACTTGCCTTTCTCTTCAAGGCCTCGCTGAGACCAAATCACCATGAGAACAGCGAAGACAAATACCTCAGCGGCCAATGTTTCATCAGCCCCAAACACCCATGGTCCTTCACCCTCCATTTCGGACTGAAGTAGGCTGGGTTGCTTTCGGGGCCCCAAGTTTCTCCAGCTTCCACACAAGAGCTGGGGTGGATTCAGGCTTGAATGACCCCATGGCAACAGGTCACGGGAGAAATCGCACGGATCCGAATGTTGACAATGCATGGATTTAGTTTTTGACCTGTGGCATGTAGGACCGCAGCTTCCGAGCCACATGAATATGCAGTGCAAAGTATAGTGGGAAAAAACAGTGATAAGCGTGCGTGCAAAAGAACTTAAGAATCAAGCGTGCCCGGCACACCATTGTCCTTGATGAAGCCTGCTTTCATGAGCCCTTTGCATCCCCGCAAAGACGGCATCGACCTAGGGAGGCTGGTTTCATCTTGGCGAAGCAGATGCAGCCCCATGGACTGCGTGAGTGAATGCAAAAATAAAAATGTCACACAAATTCAGTGAGACGACTGACCCTCACGCACCAAGCATGCGAGCAGAACGCATTTTCCATCCCCCAACTCCTCTATCATGCATGAGGGATTCCCCATGCGCCATTCCCCAAACTTAAGGTCTCAATGAGCTGGCAACACGCTTGCTTGGCATGACGGCCTAACCGAAACATATACAGCTTCGACTTGAACACTATAAGTGATGAGTCTTAACCATGGGGGCCAGCAACCTTATAGAACACAACGTGCCAAAAACACCGTCAGCCATCTAGGCAGCCATGTCCAAAGCCAGCGAGGCATTGTACTTAATCCTGGCCAAAACTTCATGGAACGGCTGCAAAGGGTCCTCGCCACTCGCGCCCTCAATGCCATTCGTATTGACCCAGCACGCCTTTGAATGAGATGCCATTACTTGCAAGCACCACGAAACAACCCTATAGTCCTGTGACCACCAAACCTAAAAACATAGAAACATATACACTGAGAAAGGCAAAGCCACAAACAGTCGGGCAGCGTAGATCTGGACAACCAAACGCCTGTTGAGCTGCCGGCCCTTCTCGCTCTGGCCGCTCTCAGCGAAGTAAGCGATCTGCTTCACTTCATCGCCTCCCACCCACTTCACGGCAGCAGCAGGCCTGGTCCAGTAGGGCATAACTCGAGCTCGAGGGAACCATTGAAGGTCAGTTGCTACCAGCAACTTCAGCTCCTCCAACTGCACTGAAGGGTGAGCAGCTTCCGACTTCAGCTTCTCCAAAAAGTCTTGCAAAATGCCATCGTCCCTCAGGCGGTCCTGAGTGGCTGCATCATCCACCCTCCGTGGTCTTGAGCTGGCCCTCCTGGCCTGAGACTTCGCTGCTGCCTTCACCTTCGCCTGTGCCTTCGCCTTTGGTTTTGCAGCAGGAGTGCGGGCTCTCTTCCGCGGCGGGGCATCAGAGGCCGCAGATGCTGTGGCCTTTGCCTTCGCACGAGGCTTGGCTTTGGCCTCCTTGGCCTTGACCTTCTCCGCAAGCTCATCAAGGATGTGGTGAGGAGGGTTGAGAACACTGGAAGCCATGGCCTGGTTGTCATCCTCAGCATGGAAAAGCTCTCTCCGGACAGGGTCATCATGCTCCACCTCTGGGCTTGAGACCTCCATGAGATCACTGCCTTGGCTGGCATGACATCCGCGGCCACGCCCACGAGGTTCATAGTAGCGAGTGTCCTGCATCTTCAGCTTTGTCGATCGAGCCAATGGCGACAGCTTCACCTTGGGTGACGGCACCTTGGCCTTCGCCTTTGCCTTTGCATTCCCCCTCTTCCTCTTGGGTTTCTCCTGCGCAGCCAGCTCATTGAGTTCTTCCTGGCACTGGCTATCCTCCGGAGAAGGACGCTTCTTCAGCTCCAATTGGTCTTTGCGGGTAAGCACCTGCAAGTGAAGCGAGACCGATCGAGCCTACAACAACATGCGCAGCCTTAAGTTGGTTGTTGTTTGTGTCAACCAAAGCCCAGAGGTCATCAAAAAAAAGACGGACCAATCCCCATCCAAAAAGTTGTCCCAACCACACCTGAACTGGCTCCTGCTGCTTGGAATCGCCGGCGCTGGCGCGGCTTGTCTGCGATGCGTGCTTCTCAAGCTTGGTCTCGCCCTCATTGCCCCCAGGACGCTGGCCAGCCAACAAAGAGGGTTCCTCAAACTTTGGAACAGGCGGGAGGTTGGCTGCCCTCCTGCCATGGATGTGGTCATAGAAATCATCCGGCTGAGACTCCACAGTTTCCAAGTCCATGGGCAGTGTCTCATCCGTATCCTTCACGGGTCCTGCGAGCATGTGAGAAACCGAAGCAGTGAGGGTTAATAGGAAATCACCGCGAGGGCATACATTCGAATGTCCGTGCATGACCAATACATGCACTCTTACTATCAACATCTATCAACAATTTGTTTATTTACAAAAGGGTCCTGCAGGCGGAAGAGCCGGTGGAAGAGGTTTCATCAAGGCCTGGTTCTTCACTTGCCTGAGGTTGCTCACACTTAACCGCAGGAAGTCTATATATTTTTAAGTGGCCCTATGTTCTTAGAGGCGTGCTTTGGAAAGCCCTTTTTCGAAACTCATAAAACCACCGTGAAAAGCCAAGGATCAGCAGCTGCATCTCGAGCTGGTGATGCTGCAGAAGAAGACGTTTCTTCTCGGCAATGCGTCTTTTGAGCTCTGCGATGGCAGTGGCTTCACCTTGACTGGGCAGGTTCTAGATGGTTCTACTATGTAGACCTCACAAAATGGCTGCCACCCCAAGAGCACCAGCCCCCCAAAAGGTTTGTATCATTGATGTTGCAAGTGGCCAGACATAGCTGCAACTCCGGTGCCAGTTGTCTCCACAGCACTTGAAGAACTTGGTGGCTGCTTCACCTGGTCCCCACTGTCTTTTGTGGAGCAACTCGCTGCAGCCGTGTCAGGCTTCGACAATGAGGACGGCTTTGATTCAGGTGATGGACAAGGAGCGGCAGTTTTGCCATCGAGCCATTGCTTGAACTCGTCAAAATCAATCTTGGTGTCTTCGTCGTCACCCGAATCATCGTCAGGCACATCAGAGTCCATGGAGCGCAGCTTGTTCAGCTCCTTCGAACTGACGGTTTTCATGTGCTCTTTGATGTCCTCCTAGCCAGGGTCTATAGTTGATATATGATCCATATAGAGGTCCAAGGGGGTCCATATGATCTTGAAACATTATATGGTTTTCTTTTGTTTCCCCCACACAGCTTGCCTCCAACGACGGGTCCAACGCCAACAGCAACGGGTGAAAGCGAGCGTCCTTCACAGGGAAGATGTTCAAAACAGTCTAGCGAGGTCAAGAAACAAAACAAGCGTGCATGTTTACAAAAAAACATCGATCGATATGTTGAAACCATTTTTGCAAATATATCCTTTGTGTATTCTTTCCGGTTCACTTTGCGCTTCACAAGCCCCAGAAGCTTCTTGATCTCACAACCGTGGCGCCAAATCTGCCTCTCTTGTGGCTCCACACCACAAATCGAAAAGAACTTCCCAATTTCCACTTGTAAAGCTGGAAGGCAAGGAAGAGTCTGGTTGGGCGAAGCATGCATGCGACGTAGGCATGGGATCAAAACAGCCTCATTGGCGCAAGCATTGTCCCTGGTTGGTTCAACCCATGTTTTGTTAGGATCCTTCACAAGCAAGCAACCTTGCTCACGAATGCGAGCACGGGTCACCGCACATCCCTCCCACTCGATGCTCAATCCAAGCACCTCCATGTTGGGCCCCTTGAATGGCAAGAGGTCAAACTCCTGATCTTTGCAGCTCGAGCCAAAATCCTTTCAGCCCAAACACTGTCTCTGCTGCGCAGGACTTGATGCGATCGCTGATCACTGGCTCTCTTGGCAAAAAGACCTGAGCGCCTGGCTTGGGGGCTGGACCGGTTGGCCATCACATTGCATCAGGTGGTAAGCATTGTTCACTGAAGTGTTTTTGGATCAACTTATTCGTGACCTATGGTGTCATGATGTTGCGATCATGCCTTTGACATCCTTCGACATGAGCCCGGAGCCTTCAAAGGCTGCCTGCAAGTGGAATACCACCAATGATTCCACTCTTTTGCCTCTTAGGCCTGGATATCCAGACCTTCAAATCTCACATCCAGAAAAAACCAGGTTTTTGAAAAAACCAGGTTTTTTTGCCATCATGGAGAAAAACCAGGCTTTACGATCTTGAACTGGAAAAAGGTAGGTTCTCGACTTAGCAGGTATATATATAGATGATGCTTTTTGGATGAGTCATCGGATTTTCTTCAGATCTTCGCCATTTCAATCAAATAACTATCCGTTTCAAACCGTTGTCTTCTGTTTGCAAAACCTCTATGAGAGCTCCTTTTGGGGGGTGTCTTGGATTGGGTTGACTACCTCCTTTGTTTGAAGGACACACGGGCAGGGCTCAAATCAAGATCGAGTGTTGCAGGAATCCAGCCCACAAACACCAAGCTCCACTCTCTTGGAGAGGTCAGGGACTTACCCTGAGTCGTGCCCTTGCAGGACAAGATTAACCAAATGTGGTACAAAGAACCCCAAAAACATCATACAAACATACCCTTACTTACAAAAAAGACTTTAAGGAACCTACCAGCAATGGCCTCCAACCTAGTAGCGATGGCCTCGAACCGAATAGCCTAATAGCCATGGCCTCCAACTCTCTAAGGATCTTCCCATCTCACTGGCTACAATGCAAATCTTAGAGGTATCGGTTTTAGGACGTCCCCTATCGTTTTTCGAGGAACACACA